TCCTACAAGAGTGTCCCAAATGACCCACAAGAGTGTCCTACAAGAGTGTCTCACAAGAGTGTCCCAGAAGAGTGACCCACGAGTGTCCTATAAGAGTGTCCCACAAGAGTGTCCTACAAGAGCGCCCCGTAAGAGAGACCCACAAGAGTGTCCGTCCTACAAGAGTGTCCCAGAAGAGTGTCCCACAAGAGTGTCCTACAAGAGTGTCATTTGGACATATGTAGTTTTTCGAACGTGTTTGCATTCGGGTTCGTGGGTTCCATCTTGTTTTTTGTTTTTATGTTTTGGATGTAATGACAGGAGATGGCGAAGCAAGCTATCGGAGTGGATGATGAGCTTTTCTTGGACAGTTGGGAAACCGAGGAGTACCTGCCTGGCGCAGTTATGGACATCATTCATCGCAGTCATGGGTTCAAAATAGCCTTTCAATCGAGATGGAACTATTTGGCATACATGTTCTCTTGAGAACTGATCAACGATGATAACCTCACTTTTCATTGAAGTTTTTTCCAACCCGAATTTCAGTGGCAGGGTGAGAGGGAAGCCTGATGCTGCAATAATGTTTCTCGAGGTGCATTGATGGATTCCGGAATGGACAGCTTAACAGCTGTCTCCTTCAGGTGCCCCAACGTGCAACACTTGCAATGTCACAAATCAGATGCATCTTGCCTGTTGCTAGCAGCTTCCATTTAGAATTTGGATATTTTGCTTTACCTTGAACGTTTCTATGAACTGTCGTCTCCGTTTCTCTGCCTGGGCTGCTTTGGCTTGTCAGGAATGGCTTGCAGCAACAATTGGGTGTGAAGCTGCCATCTTCACTGATGTTTGATTATCCTACCATGAAGGCGAAACACGGGGCAGTGAGAATTGAGACTAATCTTTATGCTGCATTTAATGTTATCAATAAAGGATCCTTCAATCCTTCAGTACATACATCGCAACTATTCGCAGATGCTATCCAAAAGGTCCTTACATTGGGATTGGAAAACCACCATCAGCGGTCTTGCAGCTTTGTATCACTTGCAAAAACCATATTGGGCAGCAGAGGACACATGAAATGAACCAAAGGCAGATTCGGGCTAAGACTGGCTAAACGCTGATCCCCAACTTTGCAGGAAGTGTCGAACAGGATTGTTGAACTGAGTCTCTTGGATGGCAGTTGGCCGAAGATGACCCAGACTTGCATGTAGCAAATCTCTGATCGTGGTACTTTGAGTTTTTTCTATAAACCTGCCGATGCTAGTTTGCTACTTTTTGCAGCTGTTGGTTTGGTGTTGAAACTAGTCCGGAATAAAGTCAATCGATGCCCGACCAAGTCTGATCCAACTTGAGCACGGAGTGTTCAGAGTGATTAGATGTATATAATTAGTGACGGTTCCTTTGGTTGTCTTCCGTAAATCAATGTCTGTGAGGCAAGCACTTGGAGTTTTTGCATGTTTGACTTTGGAGCTTGGCCATCACGTGTCAACCATGTTTTGGTTGCTCTTTGCTGAAGATGCTCGTGGACGGTGGTCTAACCGAAAAGAGGGTCGACACCTCTTAGTGGTTCAAAAGGTCGAGAGTGACCGTGACAGCGAGCTTCTTCCGAACGGTTTCTGTTCGCCTCGGGAGAGCAGGTATTGAGAATGCCTGAGGGGCTGGGATGATATTGCTGCAACGTTTCGGCGAGTCACCATGTGCTTCAAATGCGATGCACAGTATGAAAGAACTTCCAAGATTCAAAGCATATGCAACTGTTTAGGTTTGGCACACGCAACACAGATGTGGCTCACTGCGGGGTCTGCTGCAACACAGCCAAACTGTGAAAGAGGCCTTCTCGAGATGAGCTTCTGGTCAAATTGTCGGCCAAAAGGCCCAAATCCTAAGAGCGATAGCCTCCAAGACATGTCAAATTCTTTACCTAATTGCAAAATAGACTTAATGGCGATGGTCTCCACCCTAGTAGCGATGCCTTCTGGCCAGAAACTCCTCGGGGTGAACATGGAGATTTGGTCATGCCAGTTCACCACACATCTCAGATTTTCAACAAATCTGGCGACGATTAGAACTCCACCAGACTGGTGTTTTCGGCATGTTTCACTTTCTTCCGTGTCAATGGTGGGAGCACGTGCAGCTTTTTGCAGGGAAAGGCGATTGGATGGTCACTGAAGAGTCATTGTGGGATTGCTCAAGTCCAACAGCAAAAGGCAACGGATTCTGAAAGCGCTCATTTCTTGTTGCACTTTCAAATGATGACATTTCTTGCTCAAGCACGGAGGAGGGCATGATGGTGGCACAGTGCAGAATGAGCCTTCAATATTTGTCTTGGGGAAGCGAGCCTGGCTAACCTGTGCACACAATCGTGCTGAGTGTTATTGAATTGGCCCCAAAAAGGTCATCCAAAGTAGCGGACCAACAAAGAAGTGCTGAAACTTTCATCGGCTGGCTCTGATGCCATGGCGCTTTGGGGAGATAGAGCAAGGGCGACCTTCTTGGCAGCATACAATTCAAAGCGCCACGAGGTATGGAGTGGTGAGAGATGCCATGCCATCCGATGCCAAACGTGCTTGAGTCGTTTGAGTCGTTGAGGTGGAGGCACCAGCAATCATCGCACCTCCACTTTCTCCGAAGTCGCCCAAAGTGAAAGGCTCTGCCAGGCCAGAATAAATGTCCAACGTTTATCATGTCCAAATTTCTTTGAGCTCAATTAACATCAACTCAAAGGACCTTCGAGATCTAGGGATAGCTTTGCCTCTTCGTTTGAGACTTGCTTCTTTCAGGTCTCTCACGGCCTCAGCGCGCTCTGGAGGAGAAACCCATTGAGATTCTATATTGAGACCTTGTGAAGGGAATAAGTGCCACGCTAGTAGTAACAGGTGCCTTACTAGTAGTAACAAGTGCCTTACTAGTAGTAACAAGAAGCTATTAGAAACAAGTGCCTCGCTAGTGATTCCAAATAGCTGTCGGTTCGTCGAAGTGAAGCCTTCGCTCAGGATGGCCACTAAGCAGTCGCTTGAACAGCAGCCGCCTTGTGGAGAGCGCACGGGGCGTTTACACCCTCATCCGCACTGAAGCATAGCTGCAGCACAGACTGGCCGGAATGATTCTAAGGAACGGCCTGTATAGAAAGGAACACATTGATGATCATCGATGACCACGTGTCTGGCGCGTTCGTGTCTGGCGCACTCATGTAGATGCTAAAGCTTCTCAATTGGTATTTCAACTCCTGAAGCAACCTGCTGCGCATGCTTGACTTCAAGCCGTGCTAACAAACCACTGAACAGTTCACACTTGGTTTGAGGATGTCGACGATGATGAGAAGCGACCCAAGGGTACTGCAATGCCTTTAGTGCCCAAGAGTGATGCTGGCACCCGTGTTCGTCTCTTTGAACATGCAGGCACAAGTTGTGGCACCAAGTCGGGCACGCAATTCCGCAACCGGTTTACATTGGAAAATGCATGTTTAGCAGTAGATTTGAGGCAAGATCAGAGGCGTCAGAGGCTCCTTTTTGAAGAAAGTAAGAAAGGGCAGATTCACAAGAAAAGAGAAACAAAAGAACCCCACAGAAACAGGAAAGGACAAAGAAAACTTACTTTTGTTCCTGATATCCATCGACCTATCACATCCGACTGCCTCAAGGAGCAACACAACTCACATATCCACCTTGCTCCCCTTCCTTTTTCGCCAGATAACGAGAGCTTTTGGGGTGCTTACTTCAATAAGAAGAGGTGCCTGTGTGCGCTTTGGAGGGTGGGTGCAGGTGCGGCTGTGCGGTGCCGCTGCGATGTGCGTTTTGGAGCTTGGGTGCTGGCCGTCTGCGCTTTGGAGCCTGGATGCTGGTGCCACTGCAGGGTGCTGCTGCCAGATGTTTAGGGCAGTGTGCGCTTTGGAATGTGCATGCTGTGCTGCTGCAGGGTGCCGCTGCTGCTGCTGCTGCCGCCGCAAGATGTTCATGGCAGTGTGCACTTTTGGGGGCTGGGCAAGTCTGAGTGCCTGTGTACACTTTCATTGGGTGCTGGCTCCGCCCCAGGCTGCTGGTGCGAGATGTTTTTTGTGGCCGTGTGCGCTGTGGAGCTTGGGTGCCAGTGCCTCTGCACCTGGCGCCTTGGAGATGGTCAACTTCAAAGAGGTCATCCAGGGCCATGGAAGACAAGACAGACAAAACATTTGGAGTGCAACTTTCCTCAAAAGTGGCAAGATTTGTGGAGAGCCTTTGATAGGAATAGGTGCCTGTGTGTTGGTGTTCCTGCCGGCCAGTGCGGGTGCGGTTGCCAGATGTGTATGGCCGGGTGCACTTTGCAGCCTGGGTGGCGACGCCGGCTGCCAGATGTGCATGACAGCGTGGGCTGCGTGCTGGTGCTGCTGCAGGGTGCTATTCCAAGGTCTATGGCCGTGTGCGCTTTGGAACTTGTTGGTTCCGCGGCAGACTGCCGTTGCCAAATCACATGCCGCGTGCGCTTTCGTGCGCTGGCCAAATCTCTCTGCGATGTGCGCTTTGGAGCTTGGGTGCTGGTGCCGCTGCAGGGCTGCTGCCGGATGTCCATGGCAGCTTGCGTTTTGGAGCCTGCGTGTTGGTGTCGCTTCAGGCCACTGCAGGGTGCCGCTGCCAGATGTTTTATGGCAGTGCACGATTTGGAGTGTGGGTGCTGGCATCATGCTCTGTGATACAACGCTACATCGTGAATTCCTTGCTGTTTAGACGCAATGACTTACAATGTATTATGTGTAGAAAGAAACTGTTCACCAGCGTGTTCACATCTTGAGCCGTATCAATGTGTTTCCATTCAGAAAAGCACCCTTGAAGCGGCGCAATTCAACCAGCAAAGGCACTTGCTTTTGTGTCCCTGCCCAACCTGCGCGGACACGAGCGAACAAGACCAAATCTTGCCATAACAAACCTCGTTAAGCACAACCGTGTTACAACTGGTTTTCATTTTGCTGCAAGGCCTCGGCTTCTCTGACACGGCGGAGGAAGCCAATAATGGCCTTGAATGGGTCGAGTCCAATTGGCCGCTTGGAATCCAATATGCATAAACTTGTAGAACGAGCAGCTCCTCCTGCGGCTTGCAGGTTCCAAGGCTTGAGCGGGATGATCATCATGTGCAATGCTGTGGTCATTGGTTTGGAAACCGATCTCGAGTCCAAGATCTGGTTCTGGGTCGAGCTACTTGGTCGATCTTTGCTGCAAAGGAAATTACATATATTCTGTAAATGCATGTCTAGATTGCAACAAGAGTTTTTGACTGTTGTACTTCTTATATAATACTTGTACAGGCAACAAGTTTTGCTCATCGTGCCCATGGCTCGGATTTTAGACTGTATTGAGCATTACTTTAGCACAAGCTCTCAAAAGTGACGGATGAGTGTGGGCTGCTAGCAAACAACAATTCTGCCCCAACAAACACGCCACCGCAAGAAGCAAACATGCTCCAGTATCGCCCAGAAATGGCAACATATGTGCAGTACAGGCATCTCTGCTCGAACCATTTTTCTCAACTTTTGATCGAGCAAATTGCAATCGAGATATCAACAGATGAGGCCACATATTGCCCCGGCCTGGTTGTTCTCGAAATTGGGAAACTGATTCCGCAGCACACAGTCGATAAGCAAACAGTTTAAGCACTGCTCTCGAACTTGCAACCTGAGAATTTGCATTTGGGCACCTGGTCAATCGGTTCTCAGCGGAAAAGCATGTCAAGCCTCTCGTGTAGATTAGTGTTTGGATGTGATGCAAGAAAGCCTGGGTCTTCAATGCCTTCCACACTACCTGTACCTACAGACTAGCAAAAGATGCTTTTCGCCATGTCTACAGACCTTGCTGAAACGACCCAGGCACGGTTTGCTGGCCTACTTCTTGTTCGAGCTGGTCGTTCGACTTCTGCGACATGGTCGCCAGTTCTTTCGTCAGGAGGAGACACTGCATGTAACGGAGTTGGATGGAAGAGAGGCACAGAGACAAACTGAATTTCATGCAAGGTTTCGGTCGTTCTGAACAGCTTGTTAGGACGAATTGGGTTGGAATTTGTTTGATTTGTCCATCGTGGCAAGTGGCGTTGCGGACCAGACGCTCGTCCTCAAAGCTGCCCAAAGACTCATAGGCCTAAGCCCATATAGGTAGAGCATAGGAGCCCCTAGTAGCGTCCTTGCTCCTAGTAGCAATGCCAGGAGCCCCTAGTAGCGTCCTTGTTCCTAGGCCCGGATGAAACTGGCCTATAAGTCAAAGGTCCAAATCCTGCAAAGCTTGGAGTCACTGCTTGTCCGATCTGAGCTTAGTTTCAGGTGGGTGATGCCAGTGCTGCATACCGTCATGCAGCACAACGTGAAGAATCGGAAGCAAGGACAGTTTAGTATGGCTTGACATTGTTAACGCCTCAAGCAAAACTAGAGATCATACACCAGAGAACAAACATGATGTGCACATTATTGCATGTCACAGGATGTGAACCCAGAATAGATTGTAGAGGTACTTGCAGAAATTAGCACGTGTAACTACGCAGGATTTCTCTTTGCCGCTGAATGGCCGTTTTTTTGGGGCCAAGAAGAGCCTCACAATCTTGAGGTGGAGCAGGTTGAACGGCTGAGCAACCATGGAGAATTCAACTGGTTCCACTTGAAAGCGACATGTGTGCTCATGTGACATGAGACTCCTTCAAACTGACAACAATTACTTGGTAGATGGCTCGAACAAATTGGGACTAGATAATCCTGGCCTCCAGGAATGGCATCGGTCTTCATGGTCTTCCGTAGTTGGGCTGCAATGAGTTGATGATTTGAGTTTTCAATTGTGGTTCAACAAAACTCGAGTCGAGAAATTGAACACAATAAAATCAATGGAGTTGCTGGGTACAAACGATGAGGCATGGCCAGACTGCTTCGGATTGTGCGTCTCTTCCGATTGGTCAAAATTGTGACTTGACCAAGCACTAGTAACATTCTGTGGCGCTCCTTTCTCTACCTAATCACGCACAGGCTTGCGCCAGCTTGAGCAAACTAACTGCTAGTGTATGTTGTATAGGTCCCTTAGGCAATTGCTCCAAAACTGCTACCCGCCTCAAGGCACTAACTGGAACTCTAACTCAATCAAACTCCTTTCCAAAGACTGATTTTGATGCAAGCTGCTTAGCACTTTCTTCGATGAGTCTATTCACACAATGCATGAACACCTTCCCGAAGGGTGTTCCTTCCAGGTTGGGTGTTGCCCATTTGATCGTATTTCCGTGTTTCTCATGCTTTGGCAGTTGCAAATAGCTTGTGCATCTCCTCAAGGTTCGGCCTCTCTACGAGCTTGCACAATCCATCACTGAAGCATTGCAAGGTTTCTTCGTCGCACATGTGTGATAGGGAGCTGTGTTAGCAAGGCAAACACTGTCTGAGGTTTGATGTGGGCTTAATTTGCGTCTATTTTCAAGCTGTGTTGAATTCAAGCTACTGGATCGCCCTTACGCAGTTCTTTGCACTTTGTTTGGGCCCCACACTGCTGTTCCGATTTTGGCTCAGACAGTCAAGTTGTCAAGAGAGGATCAGGTTTCTTGTGGATTAGGGACCGGAGAAGGAAACCCAAGCAACTTGTTTTGGCTTATGAAGGGAAACAAAGTCATGGACCTTTTGGTGGAAACATACATAAACATACTACAGAGTCATGGAGGCGCCGGGAATGCAGGGAATGGACTACGAGAATCTGAAGGAGCCAGGAGCTCCGTATGCCCAGCTCTTTGGGGAAACCCAGCTGCCCAGCATCAGCAGGTTTGTCACTGACACTGGGAGGTCCTTGGCCACATACTCCTGGAGTTCCACAAATCAGGGTGTCATAATTCTGGTCCATGGCTTTGCTGAACATTTGGGTAGATATTACCATGTGGCCGACTTCTTTGTGAATGAAGGCTTTGATGTTCATGGTGTGGATCACATGGCCCATGGCTTATCAGATGGTTTTGCCGGAGCCTATGGGAAGCTGGACATGGACGAGCTTGTCACAAGTTGGAGTCAATACATCCTTGCAAAGGTTTGCCCCTTGGCAGGACTGGACTTGGCCTTGCAAGTCTAGTTTGATTCAATATCACACTGCCAAGAACTACACTGTTTTAAGTTTTAAAGATTGGTTGGATGAACAATGTACCTTCACACATTTGTATGACATGCAGAGTATTGGTGTGGCTAAAAGACAGAACGAAAGCGACACGAGGAAATGGTCACGTGAAATTATACTATGTTCTGTTCCTAGCAGAACTGGCAGGAGCTCACTATATTTACTGCCATTCAACTGGCGGATTGATTACTCTTTTGGCTCTTGAAACCCTGGCGAGCAAGTGGGACAAGCTTCAGGGCGTGATCTTCTCAGCGCCGCTGATCAGGCGCAGCCAAAAAGAGAGTCAAAAACAAAAGGGAGTCATCTTTGAGTCAAAAAAACAAAAACAAGTCTATTGGGATTAACGTTGATGAAATAGGACTTATTCATACTTATCGATGCATTCACAGATTTCTCTCCAGCGAGACCCCGGTGAGACCCCCTCGTTTGGTCTCAGGAAGAACTTCACAAAGTGTTGTTTCCAGGATCTCTGGGGCAAACTTGGCGGAATCGCGTGACAACTCAAGGGGCACAGACTATAAAACATCAAGCTGTTCTTGGATCTTGAAGAAATCAATCGCCAGTTTTTGACCATCTGGAGGCAGCCTTCGCCCATTGCCGCTGGGACAGGCTGACAGTTTCTCCACCCGCCGAACTCCAAATTATGTCCCCAAGACTAAGCCCAAGCTCTTCACGTGTCAAGACTGTACTGAGCTGAAAGACGCTCGAAGTGAGATCGGCTTAATACATAGCTTGTTTCGTTTGAAAGTCAAGGCACAGCCCATGTATTGCTGCCCTACACTTTCAACGTGCTGCCTGTCCTGTGGCCTGGCCTGTGGCACCTGCTGCTTGATTCCTGGAATCAAGCCTGCACAATTGTCTGGATACAAAGCCTTCCTAGCACCTTTCCGCGAAAAGAGCTATAGCAAAGCTAGCATTAGTTGGATTTGCGCTTGCTTCAAGACTGGCGGAGGTCTAAGTCTTCACCCCTGTTTAATCAACCTGGACCCGCACTATAAGCAGTAGGAACCCGCCACGTCACCACTTGAGCACAGTAACAACGTCCTCTTTTACCCTAGTAGTAGGAGCAAAAGCCTACTTTCACCAGCACGGTAGGTCATTACGGTTTGCCACCCAAGAATCTTGGGTGTATGTATGTATTGGACTGTTTTGGAACGTACCACCAATGTGTGCCAAACACCTCCGCATGTGTTTGGTATTTTTTCTTTGTTTTAGCCCTAGCCTTGGCTATTCGTGTTTCTGAGTTTGTGAATCCAACTTTTTGCAACGGAGAAACTAAGGCAGCTGCTGAAAAGGATTCCCTGTACTTTGGATGGAAGGCCAACTTCTCGGTGATCAGGGCACTGTTGCAGGGCACAGTGCAAGCACAGAAACAGCTCCAGCGACCGTCCTACCCCTTTCTGGTGATGGTCAGTCCGACTCTTTGAAATCCATGTTTTGGACGGGAATAGACAGAGGAAGCTAAGTAGGCTAGAGGTAGGCTTTGGAAGAGAAGCTAAGTAGGCTAGATTCGATTCTGGATAAACTAGAAAGTAGGTTGGAGGCCATCACCGGTAGATGTAGCTTGGCAAACGGAAGAATCAGGATTCGATTTTTCAAGGAAACGAACTTCTTTGGAGCTTCCCTTCTCTTCCCGAATGGAAAACCACGGTCAGGTCGGATTGAACGTCCTGTTTTTGGAGTCCTTCGGTTTGAATTGGAAAAATAGACCATCGCTAGCCGCTTTGGTCGACCAGTCAGGAATGATGAATTAGTCGATCCCACAGCTGCCAAAGCGCTTTTCGAGCAAGCAGCCAGCACCACCAAAGCTTTCGAAATCGATGCATTCAGATTTGCACAACATGAGCTACACAACGAGGACAGAGTAGTATGCAGCTTTTGCAGTCTTAGGCTTAAATTATTGTTCTTCTTCATCGGAAATACAGCTCAATCATCAAGTGATCGAACCAACTGTAACTTATACAGATAAATTGATAGCCCACATTGGATTCCTTTCAGTGGGCCGTTGTCTCTCCCCATATGTTTCATCTCGCCTTGAAAGGAGGATTGGCAGAAACCTCTGAAGATCGCTTTGCAATGGCTGCACTCCCTGTCTGATGACAAGACGGGTATAAGAAATTGAGCATACTTCAGATTGGCCAAATGTTGAGCTGCGTTTGTTTGACTCTCTCTCTCTCTCCCCCTCTCTGCCTCTCTCTCTCTGCCCCGCTCTCGTAGATGGATTGCAAAGCAACCATCGTCAGCTTCGATTCAACAAGTTGTCATACAGCCAATGCGGACTACACAGGTCCGAGCATGAAGCGGGGAGAAAGATGGAAGCGATTTGGACACTGAGACTTCGGAAACCCGCGAGTGTCAGATAATCCCTGCTCCCTGCTCTCTTGCAAGGCATGTTTTGGGTCCTCGTCTTTATGATCATGACGCTCTACTCCGTGGCCATCCTATGCACTCGGCTAATTGGTCACGGCAGCGTCATTGGTGAGGATGCTGACGAAGACCTCCAGAAAATCAAGGACATCAAAGTGCAAAAAGGATCAGCCAGTAAGGATGAGGCATGTTTGCTTCGACTCTCTGGAACACAGCATCTAGCACTACTTGCGCACAAACTGTTGTGAGATGAGAGATGAACATGTTTGCCTTGATGATGTGTGAAGCACAGCCTATGTGCTTATGTCCAAGGATTTTGCAGTCTTAGTCTTGTTCAGGAGATGTTTAGCTCGGTGAGTACCAGCATGTTCACTTTGTTTGGCACTGTGAGCAGTTGGAGCCTCATGAAATTCGTTCCTTTGTTTGAGGAGAGCCTTGGATTGCAAGCTTAAGCTAGCTAGTTTAGAGTAGAGATCTTACGTAGAGCTAGCTTGTTTGAAGCAGTCTGAAAAGGCAACATCGAAAGATGCCGATTCAAACGTTGTTTTGTCTTTGTTTCATGATTGTCTTGTTTATTGTTTATTTGTGCGTTTTTTTTTTGAAAACGCAGTTGCTCCTAGTAGGTTCTTGTTCCTAGTAAGGCCAGGAGCCCCTAGTAGCGTCCTTTGCTAGTAGCGATGCCGATTTCAGGATGCCGATGTTGCGGCCTTTGTTTGTCGTCTTCTACATCTACTCTGCTTGGGCTTTGCTTGCAGTCATGACAGGTGCCAGTTTTGACAGTTTCCGGTTTCCTATTCAATGTCCATCTCTAAATCAATTCATCCAATTCAACTCTGTGAACTCAGGTGTGGTGAGTGAAAACATGATTGCCATACGTGATCAGATGCAAAAAGAAGACGAGCAGCGAGAGGACCGTAAGCATAACCGTCTTTCTGTTTGTGCAAGGCGTCGTAAAGCAGTCGACGCAAGCTGCTTGTGGCAAGCTTTCCGCTGTCCTCCTGAGTTTACTTTAAACTTAAAAATCTTAAAACCCATTTTAGTAGCTCTAGGCTCTAGTCAATCTGTCATGAGTCACTTTTTAGATACTTTTAGTCATTTTATGTCAACAGAGTCAGAGAGTTAAACCATGTCAAGACCTTCCAGGCCCCTCTTCCCGCTTCCACAGATGAAACAATCATGCTGTAACTTGCTCGTAGAGTCATCTCAAGATCGTCATGAGGAGAAGAGGAAGTCGATGATCACCAAAGTTCTCATGGAGCTCTTTCGGGAGGCCTTCAATGGTCTGTCTACACCCACAAAAGAATCAAACTCTTGTGGTTGTCAATTAGTTGGGTGGTATAGAATCGCTCTTTTGCTTTGTCATCTCAAGAGTTTCAGTTTCTTTGCAATTTGTTCCGTTCAGCTTGACAGTCTATAGTTTCGTGAGTTTGGGTACTTTGGTCGTGCGAAGAAGCCACTTTTTTCGCTTGGACATTCGTCTTGGTTATGCAACAATCGCTTTGTCAGGCCGACGTTGACAACAATGGCATTGTCTCCCGTCAGGAGTTCGAAGGACCAGGGCTGTCCTTAGATTCTCCAAAAAGTAATAGGTTGGAGGCTATCGCTGGTAGGTTGGAAGCCACTGCTATTAGGTTTGAGCACGATTGATAACTGAGTAGGAATGCTCAAATCACCTGAGCTGGTGAAGAAGATCACAAAGAACACACGAATGAAGGCAGGTGCTAACAGAAGCTGTTACTGAACTACAGTATTTGCTTTCGATTCTTTATCCATACCACTCACATTTATGATGCACACAAATAAATAGAAAAACCGATCTTTGTGAGTCTCACACTGCCCACATTTTCCTCACATTGGCATGTTTGGCCTTTCGAAATTTGTCTTGATCAATATGTGTGAGAGGTGCAAGATTTGATTGATCTTTTTGACTGGATAGACCATGACAAAGGCGGGCAAACAAGTCATAGACGAGATTTCGTCATTTTGTTGATCGGCAATCTGACACGTGGCAAACTAGGTGGCACCATCACGATTGACGAATTCATGACTGGCTTTAAGTGGATCAATGAACCTTTGCGGGCGAAGAGTTTGGTGAAGCTTCAGGATGGGTGGACAGAAATGGTAAGAGTCAACATGCAAAGCAACACGCAACACATGCAAAGAAGGACGCCAGATTTTGCAGAGGAGCGACTTGCAGGTGATTTGAAGCTCTTGGAGAGCACTGTGCATCTCGTCTTTGTGACAATTTCTAGAAAGGTTAAGAGGAGCAAGAAGCTACTAGGAGCAAAGGGCATCGCTACTAGGAACGAGGACGCTACTAGGGGCTCCTGGCCTTACTACTAGGAGCCAGAAGCTACTAGGAGCAAAGGGCATCGCTACTAGGAGCAAAGGACGCTACTAGGGGCTCCTGGCCTTACTACTAGGAGCAAGAAGCTACTAGGAGCAAGAAGCTACTAGGAGCAAAGGGCATCGCTACTAGGAGCAAAGGACGCTACTAGGGGCTCCTGGCCTTACTACTAGGAGCAAGAAGCTACTAGGAGCAAAGGGCATCGCTACTAGGAGCAAAGGACGCTACTAGGGGCTCCTGGCCTTACTACTAGGAGCAAGGAAGCTACTAGGTAGGAGCAAAGGGCATCGCTGCTAGGAGCAAAGGACGCTACTAGGGGCTCCTGGCCTTACTACCAGGAGCAAGAAGCTACTAGGAGCAAAGGGCATCGCTACTAGGAGCAAAGGACGC